CGCTCTTTTAGGAGCTTGGAACTCTTATTTTAGACCTCCCATCTCCAGGAAATCAGAGCAGGGTGTGTTCAGACATCTAGAGAAGAGCCTTAGTCCCCTCAGGAGCTCTATGAGGAGAAAGAACCACCTGCTTAGCCAGTACATCCCTATCCATCTGCAACGCTTTCTTCACCTTCTCTGCCAAATAATTATAAACAATTTCAGGAATTTCCTGAGGAATATTGCAGAAGCTTTACAGACACCCTCCAGACTTCAGGCCCTGACAGGGTGGCACTTCCTATCAATGAGGCCATTCTGGAACTAGCCAAGGATGTTTGGCACACTCCAGCCACCTGTGCCTCAACTCTAAAAAGAGCAGATAAAAGATGCTGTGTTCCACCTAAAGGGGTGGAATTTTTGTTTTCCCACCTTATCCCTAATTCATTAATAGTACAGCCTGTTACCAGGCACAACAGGCTGCACCAGCCTTGGTCTACTCCCTCCAGTAAGAATGCTAAAGCTGGACCTTCTTGGGAGAAATTTTTCTTCTGATAGCCTACAATTCTAGATAGCGAATTATCAGACTCTGATTTTGAAATATGACTTTATTGATTACAATAAGCTCTCTCGGCTCTCTAACAAGTTTCCTCAGGAGCTCAGACCTCAGTTCCAAGCTATCTTGGATGAAGGGAAGCTCATAGCATGGTTGTCCCTTCAAGCATTGCTGGGAGCAGCTGACACTTCCTTTTGTTCTATGACTACTTTGGTAGTTATGAGCCAGGCTTCCTGGTTTCATTCCTCGGGGTTTCCTAAGAAAGTCCAAGCAGAAGACCTCCTTTCAACAGTACTGTCCTGTTCAGTGAAAAAACAGACAAATCACTGCACAGTCTTAAGGAATCCCAAGCTACCCTCTGCTCCCTAGGGATTTACACCCCTGTCCTTGGAGAAAGTACTCCACCTCCTTATAGGCAGCATCTTGATACCTCAGCCCTTTTATCATCAACAGGTTTGCAAACCACTCAGGAAATGCCAGAGGGTTCACTGTAGCAGACAGAATGCCCCACCATTGTTTGTTCCTCACCCGCAGCACCCCACCAAAAAAGTCATTTTGACGTAAATTTTGAAAGCTGTTAGCCAGTCTCCTCACAACCAGACACCCCTACACCCTTTGGGGTTGCCTGCTGCGCTTCTTCCCTATGTGTCAACATCTCTCTTTGGACAGATGGTCCTGGAGACTATCTCCAAGGCCTACACAATAAGAGTTCCTGACCATCCATTCATCCATACCCCCTTCTTTGTCCTTTTTCTGGGGGCCCTTTTACAAGAGATTTCTCAGACAGAAAGTGGACTGCCTTCTACAACTAGAAGCCTTAGAGCCCATGCCTCAACACAAGGGGAAGAGTTTGTATTCTGGGTGCTTCCTCATTCCCAACCACAAGATCTTAGACAAATTAATGTCTTCATACCCCATTTGACATTCAGGATGACAACTCTGGCCTCTGTAATCCCCTTGTGACACTTTGGGGTTCAACCCAGGCCAGTAAGGGGTTATGTCACCACCTGCCCTGCAACTCTGGGTGCCTTATGTGCTGTGTTGCTGTGGTTTGCAGTCCTGACACCAACAGCCAACTACAAATATGCAAGTCACGCCCTGCTTTCCACCAGCCAGGATGACCCTTCCAGTCCTGAATTTCCCACAAACCATCTGCCCAGTAGTGTCCAGTCCTCTCGCTGAACAATTACAAAAGTTAGGAAGTTTGCTGCTCCCTTAAAGAGATGGTACCAAGCAGTTTATTACCTTAACTGGGGTTAACAAATGCTCTGTTTTAATCAAAGCACTGAATTGGTTTACTGCAAAGTAAAACAAGCTTATTAAACAAAAAGTCATAGGTTTAAGTGATACCAAGTATAAGGAATAAAGATAGAAAGAGTTACAAGTAAACAAAAGTAAAAAAATACACATCCAAGACCAAAACCTGATTTAACAAACTAGTCTCTTGTTCAAAGAAGTGTTTCTCACCAAGTCTCTTTTCCAGATGACTGACCAGACTCTGTGGCCAGGATCTTTCACAGAGCTCAAAGTTCTCAGTTCCTTTGTCTCCACAGGTGAAGGATAACTTAGGGATTCTCTCCGCTTCTTTTTACAGTCTAGTAAGCCCACATGAAGTTTCTTTCTCCTGCTGGGTATAGACACTATACTGTCTGGTGTAGACACCATGCCGGTTCCTCCCCTGCTGTGATTTTTACAATGCACATGATCTCTTCCTGCAACCTCTGATACAAAGCAATAGCTCATTGAATTTGCCCAGACCTGGTTTGACGTGTTGGCCTCCTTTCTTTTTCTGAAGAAAACCTGTTTATTAACTCCACCAACATATCTGGTTTAAACATATACTGGAAATATGTGATTAAAATATCTGTAAAGATCTTTCTGGGTTTACTGTACATACATCACAGAAGAATATTAATGATTGGTGTGTTGTTAGTTTTCCACTGATATATTACGTGCCACCTTCTGGGTTCATATGACAACAGTGCCACCTGGCATTGGAGTTCTCTTAGGGACACATCCCTCCATCAGAGAAGGTTAAAGGTCTGGAGAAACAAGTATCGACCCTGCGTTGCATAAGAGAAACTGAAGATTTCCTGGACAGACGTCAGGTTATGCTTCTACGGACACAATGTTCTGAAGATTCAGAGCAGGCTGCGCAGTGGGGACAGGAGGACGGTGAAGAAATCTGGCAGCATGTGACCTCCAGAAGAAGAAAGGGGAGCGTCCACGTACCAGCAACGCAGATACAGGTAAGCAACTGTTTTCATGTTCTCTCCACAGATACTAATGCGGAGAGTGGACTAGGTGATACATCTGAGGGAAGGGAACAGAAGGAGACTCCGCCAATTGGAAGGCATGAGATACACTGTCCTAGGGATGGGGGCTCCATGACCACCGCTCCCAAGAGAAGGAGGCGGGTGGTGGTGGTCAGGGACTCTCTCCTCAGGGGGACTGAGTCATCTATCTGCTGCCCCAACTGGGAAAACCGAGAAGTCTGCTGCTTGCCAGGAGCTAGGATTCACGATGTGGTGGAGAGACTGCCGAGACTCATCAAGCCCTCAGATCGCTACCCCTTCCTGCTTCTTCACATGGGCACCAGTGATACTGGCAAGAATGACCTTGAGCGGATCACTGCAGACTACGTGGCTCTGGGAAGAAGGATAAAGGAGTTTGAGGTGCAAGTGGTGTTCTCATATCTGACTGCGTTATGAACAAAGGGAAACCCCTCCTTCTCAGGATGTTAGGGCCCATTCTACTGGAGCACACGCTATCTCTGTAAATTCTCTCCAAAATATACCTCTCGTAGAAATCTGTAGAAATGGTAAACTGGAGCTCATTGCACACCTTTACCATCCACTATGCCTTGGTCCAGGCTTTTTCAGCTGCTGCATCCTTTGTCACAGCAGTCCTTCAATCAGTAGGACAGCATGGGTCCCTCGCACTCTCTATCTCCTCAATGATTTCTGCTTGTGAATGACTCACAGCGAATACCCATAGGAACCAACACTCGAAGAAGAAAGAAAGGTTACTTACGTTATGTAACTGGAGTTCTTCAAGATGTGTGGCACCTATGGGTATTCATAACCAACCTCCCTTCCCCTCTGCTCAGATCCTCATATGATTCAAAGAAGAGTAGGAACTGGAGATGTGGTCAGTCTACACTGCTCCTTATGTTTTCAGTTTACATCATGGGGAAGTACAGGGCGCAGGTGCGGACCAACAGACACTGCTAGTGAAGAGTCTCCCAGTCTCAGGCAAATGGATGCACCTACAGTGAATGTCCACAGGGACCACACATCTTGAAGAACTCAAGTTATTATAAGGTAAATAAACTTCCTTTTATGAAAGTTAAGAAGAACTGAGATAGCGAGTTTGGAATGGAAGCTGCATGTCAACTCTGACCATAATAGTTGCTACTGTTCCCAGAATAAGGCCATGTCTACTCTCTACATGGGCTGTGTAGTGACATGGCTATGTCACCATAACACTGGAGGTTTTCCATCGCTGTAGGAACTTCACTTTCCTGAGCAACAGTAGCTAGGTTGACAGAAGCCACCTTCCATTGACCTCACTGTTTCTACACCAAGGTTAGGTTGGTATAGCTATGGTGCTCAGGGGTATGGATTTTTCACACCCCTGAGCACTGTAGCTATGTCAGTCTAAGTTTAGATGTAGACCAGGCCTGAGTAATCTATGTCCTCAGCCTGCAGGCACATTGCTTGGCTGAAAATGCCGTCTTCAGGATGGAAAATTGGTTGCTGCCTCTCTACTCCCCTTTTGAGGAAATTCTGGATCAGTGGGTCTATGTAAATGCAAGTCCAAAATGCCCTCTCTATTGCCTACCCTAATAGCTCTTTCTGTGCTTGCCTGTTTAGGAGTAGTGAGCAACCCCTTCCACAATCCCCTGAATACCAGTGGTGCAACTTGTCCATCAGCATCCCTTTCATCGTTGCAAAACAACATACAGTTTAAGTGACTTAGAGGACTTTGTGTGGTTCCTTTGCACATGGTGACATTTACTTTAAGGGCTAGATTCTGATATCTTTACTCATGTCAAGTAGTACCTTACTCCACAAATAGTCCCATTAGCTTCAAGTTAGTAAAATCTGTAAAATTCTTTGGGAGTCATTTTGATTAAAGGCATTTTCCAAATGTTCATCGTTATTACAACACAGAAAATAATGGCTATAACTAAATGAAATCAAGCAGAACACAAGTACATTGTTTACATGTGTATATTATGTTTGTATATTTTCTATAATTCTTATGAAAAATACATTTCTAAATTTGCCATCCCTCCTATATTTCCAATTTTGATTGCGTTGTATTGACGGAATTGGAATTGCATTAGATGGCAGGAAAATTAGTGTACACACACAACAAATCATTACCATGTTGCTTTATTAGTATTGTTTTAGTTAAGAGATATAAATGTTGTAATTCAGTATTTATTCTTTTTTTCCTTAAGCACGCATACAGGAATACTTTGTTTCTGTTGGTGGATTAGACATATTAGCTGAAGTACTTATCAAGCTGGTCCGGGATTCATCTAGAAGTTACTCAAGCGCAAAACTTGCAGTAGTGGTAACAAAAACTCTAGATGCTTGCATTGCTGATAACTGTGAGTGAATGGATCCCAAACATTTTTATATATATGGTATTTCTAGAAATAAACTAGTAGGGCTAGATTTTAGAAGAAAAGTGTGTAGATGGACATGAAATGACAAGTAAGTGTACATATATTGCACATGTGCAAAATACAGTTTTACGTGTCAGAATTCCCTAAACACTCACCAACTGAAATTAGAAGGAGTGAAGAAAATGCTCCTGCACCTGTTGGGATTTGCAGAGACATGAGGGTGTGACTAACAGTTTGATTTTTAGCACATAGATACACAAACAAATGTAGGTGCCCCTAAGTCTTTGGAGAAGCTTGACGACTTTAGAGGAAGTGTCTCCAGTTGTTCTATGGGGAGGAACTTATGGCTGATAAACCTAAGAGTTAGATCTTCATGTCCTCTCCAACTGCAGTGAGTTTTCTATGTGCTGAATCTGGTAAAGGATTTGGGGAACCTTTCCAGGGGTCTGCACTCCAGTGTACTGCAGAGCCCTGATTTATCAGGGCTTCTTCCGCACCAGGATTTGGGGGATGGGACAGTGTTGGGGCTGAGAGACAGCATTTACAGGACTGGACCACTGAAAGCAGAGGATACTGACTTCAAATGTTGGAGAGAGGGAGTGAAAGCAGGGGGAAAATGGGAGCAATCTCAAGGCTTCTTTGGGGATATGGAGGACACCCTGAAAAGGAAAATGTATTTTTGTTGCATTGTGTTGTGTACTTACTGTTACAGTTTAATTAGTCTCTTTTAAATTATTTTATACTAATAGCTGCCGTTGGTGATGTCCTGGTAAAGTATCACATCGTGTCTAAGCTCCTGAGGTTGCTGACTTATGATACTCTGGATTCAGGAGAAAAAATTAGTATTATTCTTACACTTGGGCATTGCACAGAAGGTTGTGGTAAGATTCTGATTTCTTTTATGAATTTTGATTTGTGGCTTTAGCCACTTCAATGCCACACTCCTCAGCAGTTTTCATTAAAATACTATGCTTCAAAGCAAAGTTCTTCCACATAATTTAATTCAATGTTAAAACTCAAAGAAAATGTTTAGTTTTCTGTAGTGTTCTATCTTTGGTTTTGAAGAACTGTTATCTCCATACAACATACAGTATCTTCAGGATTAAAAGAAAGTAGAGTCTCATGAGGAGCCCTCAAAGGACCAAATCCTGTTCACCTCATTCACATAAGGTGAAATTCACTTTGTCCAGAGGGCCAGAACAAGACATCTGCATCACATAACTTCCACTTTAAGCCCTATTTTAATTGCTCCAGTAGTACTTGGTGCATAGGTGTTGTGCTGACCCTTTGCACAGGGATAAATTTCACCTATAAAAAAAAATTACTGAATTTAATAGCATTGTTTTGGAAGTAAGAACAGGATTTTGTCTGAAATGCTTTTGCCTGACATCTTAGTGTCAGTTTGTTGTCCAAAGTAAAGTTGCTCAACTCAGACTGTCAATTGGTTCCCTGTGGCAATGAAAGCAAACTGCATGGATAGTTGCTAGATACTGACCATTGTTTGTTTATATTGTTCGCTTTTCTCTCACGAGCACTCTGGAATCTGTCAAACAGAATATCTTGTAAAGCCCTAATCCTGCTTCCTTTGAAGTAAGTGGTAATTTGACAGTTTCGACAGGAGATGGATTGGGCTGTAAAGGAACTAATTGAATCAAAGGCGGGCTTTGCTCCTTGGAAAATATATTGCAAATATAAATTTGATGATCTTGTAGAATATAACAGAATTTTTATTTTAATATGTTATTGTTTGTAGAGTTAAGGATTTTTTTGAAAGAAAATAAAAGGTCCAATATAATTAGAGAGTTTAAGATCCTGTCTGAACTATAAAAATGTTTTTGCAAATGTTAGCATGCAAATGTTAGCATAGTTTTAGAAAACACAGTTTTAGACAATTACAAGAATTATGCATGTGGTGACTGTTCTTTTCTTGCCTAGGGAAGAACTGATTATATAGGCTCAGTTTACAATGCAGATTTTTGTACTAGTGTACCTAAATTTCAAACTGGAGTAAGCCAGACAATTGTAAATCATAGTTTACACTATGCATATGTACGTGAGAGGTTTGTTTGTTTTTTGCACTAAGGTAACTGCACTAGTGCAAACCAAGAAAACAAAATAACCAACAATCCTAATGAAAAATAAGGCCCTAGTCAACAACTGAAATTCACTTGGGTCCCATTTAATAAATATACAGGTTTTTTACTAACTTAAACTCTAGTTTTTTTTTAAATGCAGACTTTTAATTATGGATAGTTACGTATTTTTCACTTGAATTTGCAATATTTACTTTTTAGCTGACTCAATCCGTATTGGATTTGCTTATACTTCTACTGAAATTTTAGAAGTGACTGTTTCATACAGTAAGTTAGAAGTTATGAATCGTCCCTAATTGCTTCCTAAACTGGACAAAAAATAAATAAAACAATTCACATAAAGTAGTTCATGCATTATACGGAAATTACCCAGATATGATTTAATGAATTTGGCTCATGATAAAAAGAAACATTTTGCTAAATTTTACTTAAAGTTCTTTATACTGTCTTCTAAAGATAATTTAAGAAAACTGGTAACCACGGTACAAGTTAGAAACTGATTTATTTTCCTTTAATGCTAATCTTCTTTAGAAGAAAATCAGTATGATCTACTTCAGAACAATGGCCTTCCACTTATGATTCAGTTATTAACAGAGTCTCAGGATGAAGAAGTAAACAAAGCTGCTACTTTTGTGCTGCAAAATTGCAAGCAAATCAGTAAGCTTATTGTTGTTTTAAAAAAAAAAATGAAATTCATTGTTCTCAGTATTTAAGATTTTGTAACCTTCAAAATAATTGTAACCCTAGCAGGTTGGTGATGGAGTGCACTTCAGTAACCCTTGTTTTCCTTGGGAATAGTTGTATATTTACAACCATAGAATGGCTATAACGTTTAGGGGGTGAAAGTAAAGTTGCAGAGTTTCAGGTGAATGCATAATCTGTGAACACAAGGCTGATTCCTTTTAAATTATAGGGTTGCCAACTTTCTAATTGCACAAAACCGAACACCCTTGCCCCCCTGCCTCGCCCCTTCTCTGAAGTCCTGCCCCTGCTCAGTCCATCCCCCCTCCTTCCATCGCTTGCTCTCCCCCACCCTCACTCACTCGCTCCTTTTCACTGGGCTGGAGCAGGGGGTTGAAGTGCAGAGAGGGTGAGGGCTCTAGCTAGGGGTGAGGGCTCGGGGTGAGGCCAGAAATGAGGGGTTCAGGGTGTGGGAGGGGGTTCTGGGCTGGGTTATGGGGTTGGGGTGCAGGAGGGGTTGAGGACTCTGGCTGGCGGTGCAGGCTCGAGGATGGGGCCAGAAATGAGGGGTTCAGGGTGTGAGAGGGGGCTCTGGGTTGGGGCAGGGGTGAGTATTCTGGCTGGGAGGTGTGGGCTCTAGGGTGGGGCCAGGGATGAAGGGTTTGGGGTGCAGGAGGGGGCTCCAAGCTGAGGCAGGGGATTGGGCTGTGGGAGGAGGTATGGGCTGTGGGTGTGGGCTCTGGGGTAAGGCCAGAAATGAGGGGTTCAGGGTGTGGGAGGGGGTTCTGGGTTGGGACAGGAAGTTGGGGTGCAGGAGAAGGCTCCAGCTAGGGTTGCAGGCTCTGGGGTGGGGCCAGAGATGAGTGGTTTGGGGTGCAGGAGGGGGCTTAGGGCTGGGGCTGAGGGGTTTGGAGGGTGGGGGTGAGGGCGGGGTAGGGTGTTGGGGTGAGGGCTCTGGGAGGGAGTTTGGGTACAGGAGGGGGGGGTCAGGACTGGAGTGTAGGTTCCAGAGGGAGTTTGGGTGTAAGAGGTGGGCTCAGGGCTGGGGCAGGGGTGCAGGCTCTGGGAGGGAGTTTGGGTGTTGGAGAGGACTCCAGGCAGGGGCAGGGATGTGGGAGGGAGCTCAGGGTGCAGGCTCCAGGAGGGAGTTTGGGTGCAGGAGGGGGTTAGGACTGGGGGTTGGAGTGTGGGCTCCAGGAGGGAGTTGGGGTGCAAGAGGGCTGGGGCAGGGGGTTGGGTTGGGGTGTGGGCACCTCTGGGCGGCGCTTACATCAGGCAGCTCCTGGGAAGCAGCGACATGTTCTCCGGTTCCTAGGCAGAGGCGCAGCTGCCTCTGCCCGCAGGTACCGCCCTCGCAGTTCCCATTGATCACAGTTTCCATCTCATGGAAGCTGCGGAGCTGGCTTTCAGGGCAGGGGCAGCACGCAGAGCCTTCATGGCTGCCCCTGCGCCTAGGAGCCGGAGGGACATACCAGACACTTCCCAAGAGCCGTGTGGAGCTGCATAGGGAGCCAGCCAGCCAGCCCCACACCAACCGGACTTAATGGACTGGTCAGCACTGCTAAATAAAGCCACCAGAATCCCTTTTTGACCAGGTGTTGTGGTCGAAAACCAGACACCTGGCAACCATATTAAATTAGTTCTAAACCTGTGATATTGTCTTTAGAAACAGAATTGGTTTTTAGCAGTAAGTGGAGTCCTTTATAGGTCAATTAATTTGTAGACAACTCCACCAACCGTTTAGGTGCTGATTCTTTCTACTGCTTATATGAGGTAAAAATAATAGAATTGACAGTTATGGCAAGGTATTATACTCTTTTCAATGTGTTCTGTGGCTGAGGTTTGTTTGTTTGTTGTTTTTATAAATGAGATATGGTCAAGCATTTTTTCAGTGCCATGATCTGAATGCAACAGGTTCATTAGAAAACTCTATTTTATCTTTCATTTACTTATAAAAATATGTTTGTAACATTCAGTTCTAACACATAAACCCGTTTTTATAAGCCCAGTATCTATGTGCAACTCTATGCCTTTTTGTGCACACAGTTATTGTGATTATGTGTGCAATTTGGGTAATAGTTGGTACTTAACTGCATAACTATCTATCCAGACTACTGCAGTACTGCATATTCATATACGGGTGCATAGTTGCAACCACATTTTTGCTTGTAGGACTTGGGACCATTACAAACAAACTAACAAACAAACAAACCCCTTGACTTATAGTGTATTTCCTACTGAATTTCCATTTTTTGGTGGACAGTGATAAAATATTACAATCAAACCTTAACATATGGCCTGATCTTGATAAGAACTGGGAGGCTACAGCTGTCATTGAACTTCAGATCAGGTCAATGGTAAAGTTGTTTTTCAAGGAACAACTTCTACAGAAGCAAGCTTTACTATAACTGCAACTCAGTATGGCCCCAATTCAGCAAAGTACAGAAGCACATGCCTACTTTCAAGCACATTAGCAGTTCCAATGGCTTCAGTGAGACTACTTACATGTTTAAATATCTTGATGAACTGGGACCAATAGCTTTCAAAATGCAAACTGCAATTATATACATTGAAGCTATATGAAACGTTCATTCTACTTCATTATACCCAAATTTACTACAAACAGGTTGTAATATATATTGTAACTGAATAGTGGATTTGGGATTTTTATTTTTTAAATGTTTAAGCTATTAAAAATATAAAAATGAAATGTTTTTCAGTATACTATTCAGAAAGACCACATTTTTATTTTATTTTCTGCTTTACAAAGCTGAGAAATTGTCTCTGAAAATAAATGAATATTCATTAAATCTGAATGATGCAGAACAGTTGAAAATGGATCTACAGATTAAAGAGAGGAATCTAGAGGACTATTGGAAGAAAGTAAAAGAAATTTTACACAGAATAGAACTTCTTGAAAAAGAGCATGATGAGGTTGGCATGTTTATTCAGAATATGGTAAACCTAAGCAAATCTCTCAAAAGAAAGCTTTTTCCTCAAGAGTTTAGGGAGAAGTAGGAGGAAAGAGATTAGATAATCTCAGTGAACTATAAAAGTGGGAAAGAATTGGACATCTGCAACTCTTCATTTTGGCATTACTGTATATTATAATAAGATAGAGATGAGGGGAGGCACTCAGAGAACGGAATGAATACAAGGTTGAGATCTTAGTTTTAGTGCATTGCAAGAAACCGTACAAAATATATTGTAGAAAATCCAGTTCTGTAGTACTTAGTATGCAGTTAATCCAGGTTGAACAGTGAGGCGGAAAAAGAATACCCACATTTTTGTAAGTGTCTGTAACCGGTTGTGTTCACCACCGCAGTGCCTCCTGCTGGTCACTCCCAGAATTAGCTCTGTCCTAGCCACAGAGGGTGCTCCGCAGGTGGTGTCCCGTCCATTGCCTGCTCGGCTGTGCTGTCTGGGACCTGCGTTGCTCCCTGGCTTGTGACGTCCTCTTCTGGACGCAGCTCTCCGGCTGTGCCCCTGCTCTTCCAGGGTGGGTATCAGCAGTCCTCAGTCTGCACCTGCTTTCGTGGCCACCTGCCGCCCCAAAGTCTAGTCACTTGCCTCAGGTACAAGACACAGTCCATTGGCCATGCTCCTCCATAGTAAGGTGCGCTGTAAGAGGGGAGGGGAAACCCCAGGCCTGCCCACTACTCTGGGTCCCGATCCAGGGATCCTCTAGCGGCAGTCTCCCACTGCCCTCCTTCAATCCCCTCTTCTCCCTGTGTACCCTGGGTCACTTCCCCTTGGCCCATGCACCTTCTTGGCTCTTTTTGTCAGGGGCTGCCGTCTGGCAGGTGACAGGCCAGAGCGCTCTCTCTGCTCCCCTGGGCCTGCCCAGCACTGCTCTAGCCTAGGTGCTCTGTCTGCAGGGAGCAAGTCCTTCTCCCTTGCTTGTCAGGAAGAGACTGCTGTCTCCTCTGCTTTGCAGCCTTTATATAGGGCCCAGTCTGGCCCTGATTGGCTGCCTTTCTGCCCTTCTCTGGTTGGCCAGGTTCTGCACAGGCTCCCACCAGCCTGCATTAGCCCCTCCTCTGCCAAAGTGCGGCAACTGCCCCATTATACTGTGCATATGTATTTTGAACCTACCATTTCCACATTTGTGTGTGAAATGCCTGTGCAGTCATAATAACTTCATGCACAAATGTGTACTCCAAATATCTAGCTCTAAAATGTAAACTCTTAAGCCTTCTTATGCTAGGACTCTGTTTATATCTTGTTTGAATTGATAGACCCAGGTAACTTTCATGGTTTATTGAAAAGTAATAGTCTATATGTATTTCAAATTAATTAAAATGTTTCTTATGTTTAAAGGATATATGCAGCAACTTTCAAACTGTGGAAACAGTACATAGCCATCAAAAGCAGTATCCAGCTAAAAAAAGCTATATACTATCTGTAACATAAGGGAACAAATCAGATAAAAAAGCCTTGTAATCAACCCTGTGATAGAAATGGAGATGGCATAATTTGGGTTTAAGTGACAAAGCTAGAAAGTAGTTGTGTGAAATGACCTAGAATCATACAAGAAAAGCTATAAGCATATTGGTCTGAGTGTAACAGAAAAAGATGATGAAATATTCAGATAGAGCTCAGTATGTATAAAGATTATTCAGTGTTATATAGTACTGTATCTGTCTTGTTCAGCATGCAGTTCAGTCTTTCCTTGCTGGTTTCCTATGTCTGCCATTACTATCTGGTCCCTTTAGGTAGTCAGTAGCCAGGTGCTCAGTGACTTAATTTACATGAGTCTCAGGCCTCTAGAACTGCTCTGTAATGTGATCCAGTTTATTGCTTTCAGATCCAAGTTCTCACTAGGATACAGTGCCTTTAAATTCTTTTTCATAGCTTTTCTGGATTTCTTGTTAACAGTGTCTAACTAGAGCCAGGCACTTCTGCAGCTTCGTAGTTAACAGGATCTACCCTCAAATTGCCCAGTCTGTGTTCTTCTCACCCTACGATAGGATTTATTAATGCTTTGTACAATCATTAATTGGTATTTTTGCAACATAGGAAACAGTAAGAAGACAAATATTTGTTGATATACCTCGGGAAGCAGTTATGCAAACGACACCAAAATACCGTAAAATGAATGCCAGTGATCCAAAAGCAAACACTGAAAGAACACATACAAAAATGCAGTGTTCACTGCTAAATTGTAAGTCTGATGATTTGGTTCGTACTACATCTGCAAATAATCAGTCATCCAAAAATGGAATATTAAAGACGGTGACTCCAGTAGATGTTTCCACCAGAGAGAGTGAGCAAAATGTTACTCTGCATTCAGCTGATAAACTACAAACAGGTAGTGTACAAAAAGGTCATACTACAAATGAACGAACTGCTTGTGAGAAGAAACAGTGTGTTCCTCAAGCAAGGTATAGTATTTGATGTCTCAATGCAAAGTAAAAATGTAAAGTTGCTGTTCACTTAATGAAAATTTCCAAATCAGATGTTATTTTATTTAATTATTTCATTATTTTTTATTAACTAGCTCTTTATTGTGAGAGAAAACGGTCCACTTTTTGGTCACCACAGCTTTTCTTAGGTGTAGATGTTGTATCTTTGCCATCTTAGATCAAAGAAAATAGAATCTCAATGCAATAAAGAAAAATAAAAGCATTTTGTCTTTGTATTCTAGATGAAGTGGTTGCAGCTATTTCAAATGCATTTATAGGTACTATTTTAAAAATCTGATACAAGATTAAATATTTAAACTATAAAATCCATAATATTTTTCTCCCCAGTTTTCTCTCACATTTCTTTTCATAGAATCATAGAAGATTAGGGTTGGAAGAGACCTCTGGAGGTCATCTAGTTCAACCCCGTGCTCAAAGCAGGACCAACCCCAACTAAATCATCGCAGCCAGGGCTTTGTTAAGCTGGGCCTTAAAAACCTCTAAGGATGGAGATTCCACCACCTCCCTAGGTAACCCATTCCAGTGCTTCACCACCCTCCCAGTGAAATAGTTCCTAATATCCAACCTAGTCCTCTCCCACTGCAACTTGAGACCATTGCTCCTTGTTCTGTCATCTGCCACCACTGAGAACAGCCTCGCTCCATCCTCTTTGGAAACCCCCCTTCAGGTTCTTGAAGGCTGCTATCAAAACAGCCCTCACTCTTCTCTTCTGCAGACTAAATAAGCCAAGTTCCCTCAGCCTCTCCTCATAAATCATGTGCTCCGCCACCTAATCATTTTTGTTGCCTTCTGCTGGCTGGACTCTCTCCAATTTGTCCACATCCTTTCTGTAGTGGGTGCCCAAAACTGGGTGCAATACTCCAGATGTGGCCTCACCAGTGTCGAATAGAGGGGAATAATCATTTCCCTCGATCTGCTGGCAATGGTCCTACTAATGCAGACCAATATGCTGTTAGCCTTCTTGGCAACAAGGGCACACTGTTGACTCATGTCCACCTTCTCTTCCACTGTAATCCCCAGGTCCTTTTCTGCAGAACTGCCACTTAGCCAGTCGGTCCCATGCACTGTAGCAGTGCATGGGATTCTTCCATCCTAAGTGCAGGATTCTGCACTTGTCTTTGTTGAACCTCATCAGATTTCTTTTGGCACAATCCTCCAATTTCTCTAGGTCACTGTGGACCCTATCCCTACCCTCCAACATCTCCCCTCGGCTTAGTGTCATCCACGAACTTCCTGAGGGCGCAATTCATCCCAGATCATTAATGAAGGTGTTCAACAAAACCAGCCCCAGGACCAACCCTGGGGCACTCCGCTTTGATACTGGCTGTCAATTAGACATTGAGCCGTTGATCACTACCCGTAAAGCCTGACAATATAGCCAGCTTTCTATCCACCTTATAGTCCATTCACCCAATCCGTACTTCTTTAACTTGCTGGCAAGAATACTGTGGGAAACTGTATCAAAAGCTTTGCCAAAGTCAAGATATGTCACATCCACTGCTTTCCCCATATCCACAGAGCCAGTTATCTCGTCATAGAAGGCAGTCAGGCTGGTCAGGCATGACTTGCCCTTGGTGAATCCATGTTGACTGTTCCTCATCACTTTCCTCTCCTCCAAGTGCTTCAAAATGGATTCCTTGAGGACCTGCTCCATGATTTTTCCAGGGACTAAGGCGAGGCTGATCTGTCTGTAGTTCCTCAGATTCTCCTTCCCTTTTTTAAAGACGGGCACTCTGTTTGCCTTTTTCCAATTGTCCGGGACCTTCCCCCGATTGCCACAAGTTTTCAAAGATAATGGCCAATGGCTTTGCAATCATATCAGCCGACTCCCTCAGCACCCTCAGATGCATTAGATCTGGCCCCAGGGACTTGTGCATGTCCAGCTTTTCTAAATAGTCTTTAACTGTTCTTTCACCATTGAGGGCTGCTCACCTCCTCCCCATACTGTGCTGCCCAGTGCAGCAGTCTGGGAGCTGACCTTGTCTGTGACTGATTCTACTGGCCATGGATAAAGACTGATGTGGAGCAGTATTGTAAGACCTGTGCCCGGTGTATGCAACGGAAGACTCTACTCACGAGAGCTGCTCCACTGTTTCATCTTCACAGTGAAGGCCCTGTGGATTTGGTCTGTATAGATTTTCTCACGATTGAACCCGATAGCAGAAATACTTTTAATGTGCTAGTCGTAACTGATCATTTCACAAGGTATGCACAGGCCTTTCCCACTAAAGATCAAAAAGCTCCTACTGTTGCTAAAACTCATTGGGAGAAGTACTTTGTGCATTATGGGTTGTCCAAGCGGATGCACTCATATCAAGGACAGGACTTTGAGAGTCAATTAATTCAGGAACTTCTGACTATGCTAGGTATAAAAAAATCTAGAACAACACCTTATCATCCACAGGGAGACCCACAGCCTGAACAATTTAATCAGACCCTGCTTAGTATGTTGGGAACCTTGAATACCAAATAGAAATCGAGATGGAGCCAGCGCATTAGCCATCTTGTGCATGCTTACAACTGTACCCAAAATGAGGCCACTGGGTCTTCTCCATATTTCCTAATGTTTGGACCTGAAGCATGATTACCAATAGACCTCTGTTTTGGGGTGTCAGTGGATGGGTCTTCCCACCAGTCTTTCCTCCAGTATGTGGCTAATTTAAAAAAAAGACTTGTGTGCTGCTTATCAACTTGCTCTGATAAGATGAACCGGGGCAATAAAGACCGTTATGACCAGAAGGTGGGATACTGTGATCTGCAACCCGGTGATCACGTTTTTTAAAAAAATCTTGGCCTCCCCGGAAAACATAAACTTGCAAACCGTTGGGATTTGCAGCCCTACATTGTGGAGAATCAAATGCTCAGGCTATATATCACCGAAAGCCTGAAAAGAATGGCAGCCCATTAAAGACTTTACATCGAAACCACTTACTTCCTCTGGGGCAACACGTCAGAATGGATGACCCATCAGATATCGAGCCTACCCCTCTATCCAGATCATCTAACCCAAGGACAGCTCTGACGTCTGAAAGTTCCTCCCCCAACTCCATAGGTGGTACTAGCAGGCTACCATGATGGACATAATTGGTCCCCCATCAGAGACTGATTCTGAGGAGGTTTACCCTGAATATATATCTATGTATCATGAACCCTCAGATATGTCTCCTGGGTCTGTTGTACTGTCACCTTAGCCAGATCAACCTGAAAGTGCAACTAGCACACCCCTTTTAAACCCTGAAACTTTTCCAGTCTTTCCTATGGGAGAAGTTCTTAGGGAGGGCGTAGATATATGCAACAATCCCCCTGGGTCTTCAAGTGTAGGGAACAAGATTGCTACAGATGTTGCTCCTTCTACAATGGGTAATTCTGTGGTGGATGCTGAAGCTGACGGAGCTTTATTAACACGTCCTGTTGGGGTGGAAGCAGGGATGGCAGAACCATTAAGGAGGTCCCAGCGAGAAGTCAGGCTCCCTCAGCAGTTAACATATGATGTGGTTGGAGTCAGCAGTGAGTTGTCCAGCCCCACAGTACATCATGGGGTGGTTGTGCTGAAAGATTTTAAAACACATGTGGAGTCCAAACCAGAATATGTATCCTCTAAGGATGAGCTCAAGTGTTTTTCATGGTGGTGCTCACCTCAGGCTAGATGCCTAAATTGTGCTTATTCTAGTGGGCCTATACTTTACCCTCCATTGAATGTAACCTCAGCTAGCAGTAGGAATTAGGAATGTATGTATTCTATTGTAAATGAATCTGTTTTTCTTCTTTGTTCTGGTTCCTTAATGGGGACATTAAGGATTTTTCTGTTTGGGGGAGAATGTAGGCACGCTTTACTAGAGGGGCCTCTGAACTTTATTTGGAGTGTTCCAGTTGGGAAGAACCTGTGTGATGCAATCTAGCCTTAGAGAGGACAACTCCTATCATGCTTGGGGAAAGGGTGAGAGACTCACTCTTGCAGGCAGTGCAGGAAGAGCAGGCGGTTGACTCCATTTTGGGAAGAGGACTGAGATTGCTGCTGTGGAGCTCTGCCCAGACCAGGAGCTGCTGCTAGGAAGCCAAAAGCTGCTGCTGCTGGGAGCCTGCGGGGGCTTTGATCAAGCAGGGAGCCTCAGAGGCTGTTGGTGGCTTCACTGGAGCCAGGGTAGAGACTGTTGCTGTGCCTAGAGCTGACTAAGATGGGCCTGCAGTGAAGGAATTGTGAGTAACCCCCACTCTGGTTTGGGAAAGTATTTGCAAGGGAAGGGGCACTGCAAAGAGAGTCTGAGTCTGAAGAGAGGCAGAGTGATTGTCCCACTGAACCAGGACCCAGAGCTGCTGACATTTGGTGGGGCCAGCTCCAATCGTCAGAGAGGTTTTGTGGCTTGTTGCCTTGGCTGGACTGATGCACAGAACCAACAGAGTACCGTCTCTAGCTGCAGATCTTCCAGTGCGCCCATGCAAGCATCTACGACTCTGAAATCCAGAGGAGTGTATGCTCCAAGGAGGGGTAAATGGTGGCATTGCAAATGCCAGTTAAATAGATTTCATTTATTACTGTAAACTATATTTGTTAATTGATTTTATTCAACTGCCCCCTGTGGATTTAAATTAGTAGTGACGTATAATCTTAGACTGTTATACCCTGATTTTTTTAAGTTGTTAAGTAAAGGTGTGTTAACTCTAGTTTAAGTATATTGGATGTATATTATTTATAATTGGTATTTCTGAGTTACACCCATGCCACAGATTATATTATTATTATTATTATTATTTATTATTAGAATAGCTTTATTTCTGGAGGTTACTAAGGCACACCATTGAGTGTGTACCGGGGCCAGCCAGGTGGAGGCACCGCCAATTTTAAATTCTTTAGGAGTAAAGGGACTGCAGCAGAGGGGTGAATAGAGGATTCCCACCTATCCATCACCACTGGGATACTCAGGATCTTCTTTAATGTCAGCAGTCTCAGGCACACAGGTGAGTGTTGCCTGCTCCCGAGTAACCCAGGGAGGAAAAGGGGCGTTACATATCTAAGACACAGGAGGTAATTGTCTCGCTCTACTCAGCACTGCTAAGGTCTCAGCTGGCGTCAATTCTAGATGCCACATTTTAGGAAAGATGTGGAGAAATTGGAGAGAGTCCAGAGGAGAGCAACAGAAAATGATAAAATGTTTAGAAAACCTGGGGGAAAGGTTAAAAAAAAAAAAGGGCATGTTTAGCCTTGAGGAAAAGAAGACCAAGGGGGGACCTGATGACCATCTTCAGATTTGTTAAAGGTTGTTATGAAGAGGACTGTGATCAGTTGTTCTCTGTGTAAACTGAAATTAGGAAAAAAAGTAATGGGCTTAATCTCCTGCAAGGGAGATTTAGGTTAGATAGTAGGAGAAGTTCTTCTAACCTAGGGATAGTTAAGCACTGGAATTAGGTTCCAAGGGAGGTTGTGGAATCACTGGAGGTTTTAAGAGCAGGTTACACAGACACATGTCAGGGATGGTTTAGCTATACTTGGTCCTGCCTCAGTGCATGGGGGCTGGACTAGATGACGTCTCAAGGCCCCTTCAAGCCCTACATTGCTATTATTTTAAATGTTGTTGTGAGCTTTGGTTTTAACTTTATTAATGTGTTTTTGATCTTTCCAGTGAACACTTGTTTAAACAACCATCACTGACTGTTCAAAATCTGAAACAGGCACAAGTAGCAGGTACAAATAACTGAAGTATATTTTTTTCAGATAATGTTGTATGTTATGGATTGTTATTGGAAATAAAATATGGTTCATAGCACTTACCTTTAAAGTTATATTTTATCATACAGTGTGTATCATACTATATGTACACTCCCATTCCATTATGTACAGTGTTATAAAATTGTAAATATTTGCATAGATTTGGAATTTTATATTAAATATCTATTAAAATTAGAATCTATTTCTTTTGTTTAGATTTTATCTTCTAAAATGTATTACTTTGGTATTTTTTTGTAAAATAATTTCTAATATTACCAAAGGTAAGTTTAGATAAATATTTTCTGCTATGTCCAAAAATCTTTTTGGATTGAGCAATGAAAGCCATCAATAGTACGAGAATTTGTTTTGACCTCTGCTCTAAATATTGGATAGACAAAGAAAATGATCTTGTGAACTGGCATTTAAGCATGCGTATTGTTCCATTTTGATTTCACTGGGACTATTCGTGCATTAAATTAAGCACATGTGTAAATGTTTGCAGGATGGGGTGTAAGGAATTAGTGTTGATCTCTGCTTCATTATACCCAGTGTATTTTTCATACTTCAGTTCTGATCCATCTAATCTTTATTCTTGAATAACCTATTGACAGTTTAGAGGAGTAAGAGTTTCTCATCTGAATAAGTGTTTTCCTGATTGGTACCTTAAAAAGGGCTAAATTGTATTCTGTTACATCACTGTAAATCAAGAGTAAGGACTGCTACATGTGTAAGGCTTTGCAGAATTAGACTCTAGATTTGAAATAAATACAATGAACCTGATATCCAACTTCATCATATCAATTTTACACATTTGCACCAGGTAAAACTGGTATGATCAAATGAAAAAATCAGGCCCTCTGCATACAGTGAAGCAAAGATAAGGACTGAATTTCCTTGAGTTCATCTGGATTTACACTAGAGTAACTGAAATTCCCATTTGACCTAGAGTATTTTTTTATTCTTTGCTGTTGTATAAATTAAACATCTGTATGTCTTCTAGAAATGTAAAATAAAATTGGACTTATGTATACTGTGGAGAAGTTACCACCAGAAAGACAGTTTGCTTTTTCCATCCTAGTGAAATACACTTTTTTCAAATTTAGAAACAGTTACATTTTGTTCAGGCTCAACAAACAAGGAAAGAAGTATTCCAACTACTTCTGCATCTCCTCAAATGACAGATTTAAGGTGCTCAGGTAAATGATGTTTATCTTAGACTTTTTATTATGATACCATAAAAATCTTTTTATGCCCCATCAGAAATACATTAAACTACTTGATATTACATCTGATTTGACACATCTACAATACTAATAAATCTATTGCCTTTAACCTATTTTTGTCCCCAGTAATAAAGTGTAATTGTCCCCATCTGTCACTGTGCAGATTCATCAGCCAGAGCAATCTAGATAAAGCCCACACACTTAAGTTTTAGGTCCACGTTCTTTTCCCAAACAGAAGATACAAAGGCTGAAAATAATACACAACACTTGGATATTTTCCTGCTTTCTGTAAGCAGAAAGGGGAGAGAATATATTCTTTCTCTGCTAAATAGGTCCCCTGACTACTACATCCCCACTCTGCTCCATTGCTAACCCTGGATCTCTCACTACTAAGCATAGGCTGTCTAAGTTGTTGCTGCTTGCAGCCTGCAGTCTCATAACCTGTCATGTGCTTTCTGAACTCAGTCCCCTCAGTCTTAAAGGGCCAAGCCAACAAACTGGGTTGTGTGTATTTGCCATAGGACCAACACCCTGTCACAGACTCACACTATTTTTGGGGGGAGGGATAGCTCAGTGGTTTGAGCATTGCCCTGCTAAACCCAGTGTTGTGAGTTCAATCCTTGAGGGGGCCATTTAGGGATCTGGGGCAAAAATTGGGGATTGGTCCTGCTTTGAGCAGGGGGTTGGACTAGATGACCTCCTGAGGTCCCATCCAACCCTGATATTCTATGATTCTATTGTTTTAAACTTGTGCTAATATCCAACCTGTTGTCTAATCCTGTGTATGCACATGTCTGTGGCTAAATTGTAGCATTAAGTAGCAGCCATTTAATGGGAACACTGCAGTGCTCCAGAGGGTGCTGTGGCTATGCCACTATTAAAGCGGTTATAGTATGCAGTGCCTTTTACTTCTCACACAGGTGTTAGAAGCATGCTGTCATCCCTTTCTGGCCACTATATACAGCTTAGTATTAGCAATGTCTCTGGCCCTGGGCACAAGGACTTTTTGTACTTGGCCCCTGTGCATGGGCAGCACATAATGGAGGCTGGGGGAGCCTAAGCCTCCCCAAACCTCACACCACCGGGGGATGGGGGCAGTGAAGGATCTGGGCCCCTGGAAAAATCTCTCCCTGCCACAGGCCCCAGTGGTGGGGGCACAGTTTTTCTGGTCTTGGGGACATGGGGGGCAGGGTGAGCAGGGGCAGAGCATTGGGGGAAGAGGCGGAGTGGGGGCAGAACAGGGGCATGGCTGTGGGGGAAGGGGTGGAATGGGGGAGGGGCTCTGTGTTCAGAGCTCCAGCCAGGGCCGAGAGCTCTGCCACAGTCCTGGCTGAGGCTGAGAGCTCTCAGCTGCCTCTCCCCATGGCCCCGACCAAGCTCTCAGTCCCCGCTTCCCCTGCCAGGGCCATGGGGGAAAGGGCAGACCTCTCAGCCCCCTCACTCCCCAGCCAGTGCCATGGGGGACTGAGAGCAGCAAGCAGGGGCAGGGCCTTGGCTGGAAGGGGTGAGGCCTTGGCCAGAAGAGAGAAGCTTCACCCACCACTAGGGTGACCAGATGTCGCGATTTTATAGGGACAGTCCCGATTTTAGGGTCTTTTTCTTATATAGGCTCCTATTACCCCCCCACCCCAATTTTTCCCATTTTTCACATTTTTTCTGTCTGGTCATCCTACCCACCACCCATGCCCCTATGGGAGTGTGCAAAGGGAACAGAGGCACCTTGTGTTCTGTCTTGTGCCTTCCTTGCACTTCTACACAGGGTCTGTACATAATCTGGCCCTCTGTGGATATAATTTATTTTCCGTGGTCTTAATAAAAACGTGTGTGTGTTTTTTGGAGAGCTACTACAAAGTGTTAAACAAGCATTTTCAAAAATATACATTTTAGGGCCAGTCTTCCTTGGCGTGTACATGGAAATCTAAGAACAAATTGAACCCTTTTTGGGCAAAACAACAAATCTGCTGAGTTTAGTAGTGGCTCGTAGAAATGCATGCTGGGGCTTCAGAACAAGGGTTTGCTGGCTGCATCAAGGTTGAACGTTGCAGAACATGAAAGAGGGAACTTAAAATAAGTGTCACTATTTGGAAAGACTGTGGCATAAGCTCTAAAAACCACTTTGAAGACATTTTTAATAAATAGATTTGCTACATCTACATTTTATATATGCTATTTCTACAACATAGGTTTTTTTTTTTTTCAGGCTGTATAACTGTAGGACTGCCTTTCACTAGCAGAACTTTTAGCAAGATCTTGCATACTTGTCCACATCAGTGTGATCGTCACAAAGTCATTCTGGAAGCTGAAGAGAGATATAAAAGGGGACTAAAAAAATCAGTTATCTGTAATAACAGTAGTTCTGAGGCTTTTAAGAGTAATTATGAGGATTTTTTATAATAGATAAGGGTATAGTTTAAAAGGTATTTGTAATTTAGTAATTTGTTTTGATTGATTCTGATCTAGTAATCTTACATTGGTTTAACTCCATTAACTTAATTGGAGTTGGTCACAATTTATACTGGTGTATACTTGAGATCACAATTAGACCCCTGGTCCCTGGGAGTAGAAACTACAGTGTACATCTCTCTTGTGTGTTCCTTGGTAATTGGCTGTATATCCTCATTATGAATTTGGATGAGGCTGTCTGTCCTCTTAGCCAGAATTAGTAAGCTCCTGCCTTCTACCATTAGGAAAGATTGAATGAGTGCATGACAGCACAACAAGCCCTTTCTCATACCAGTATCGCTTCCTCAACGATGTGAGAGGCTTATAACTCTTGATCAGGATGGTGGGTGAGGGAAAGTACATCCTCAAATACATGTAGCTTTCTACTGAAAAAAAAGAAAAGAAACTGGATTTTTAGAATGAAAGTTTTTAACTGCTAGCATTTACAATGATGATAAAACATTTGTCCTGTGCTTTCCAGAAATACTGTTGACCCCAGCTAAGAAAGGAAGACTGAATACAGAGTCGTCAACCTTCAAGAGCAGAAAAAATCTGCAGGAAAATTTCCGAAGTAAGGGCCCAGTCCTGCAACTGGGGCTTATGGAAAAACTACTTATTATATGAGTAATTCTATTGCACGTATACACAAGGGGCATTTCTACGTAAGCGTCCCAGCCCAGATCCAGACACATTGTATCAGGGCTTGTGTTAATATGCTAAAAACAGCCACGTAGATGTTTTTATGTTCTGGCTCTGGCCGGAGCTCTGGCTCTGAAGCCCTCCCACCTTAAGAGCCTGAGCTCCAGCCTGAGCCACAATGTAAAAGCAACGGCTACCCAGTTATATTTAGCATGTTAGTATGAGTGCCACTAACACAAGTCTGTGGATCCTGGCTTGGAGGCTTGCTTCTAGATGCTGTGTAGACATACCCATGCAAGACTTCATTCCTCTGGGCACTCTACAATATTAAACATAACTATGCCACTTCAATAATAAATAATAAGACAGTATCTCATTTCTGTGTAGCAGAAAACGAGAGAAATAGTCATTGTAGGCATTTTTGCTTTTATTAGCAGGAGATAGTGGATGGATTTGCAGAAATGGGGCTCCCGAACTGTGGTGGAAGTAGAGCAATAGAGGGCACGCATCTCCCTATTTTGGCACCAGACCACTTTGCTACAGAGTACATAGACAGAAAGGGCTACTTTTCTATGGTTATGCCGTTGTTGGCAGATCACCAGGGATGCTTCACCGACATGTGTGTTGGCTGGTCAGGGAAGGTGCATGATGCGTGCATTTTAAGAACACAGAAAATATGCTGTAGAGTGCCTAGTAGTTCTGAAAGTACCCATTTGTTACTGTACAGTGTGACACAACTCATAGGATCAGTGACCGTGTAATAATCAGATATTTACAGCAAACACCACAGAATCAGTAGGTGCATTGACTGTTTATTCATAGATATACATCAAGCAGCACACAATTCCTAACAGGCCCCAAAACATCAGGTTGAACACAGAAAGCTACAAGCAGGACCTTTCTTTCCTGACGGGGAGATTACCATTGGTAATACTGAAATGCCTGTAGTGATCCTGGGGGTCCCTTGGTCCCTGACTCATGAAGCTGTACACCAGCCACCTCGACATCACCATCAAAGGATTCATCTACCTGTAGGTGCAGCTGAATGTGGTTTAGTAGGTTGAAGGGACACTGGCATTGTTTACTCACAAGATTGGATCTCAGTGAAAAAAACATTCCAGTGGTTACACCTGACAGCTGTGTCCTGCATAATATCTGTGAATCAAAGAGGGAGGACTCTTAGGGTCGACATAAGTAACACAGTGTCTACACTCACACTGTGTCAACGTCAGTACATTTGCCCGGGCTCAACGCCACTTGGGGAGGTTGTGTTACTCCATCACTGTAACCGGGCACTTTCATTAGTGGGAGACAAATTTAAGTATAGACACATGCACAACTAGGTCAACACAAGGCAGCATACATCACCCTAACTGTAACGTAGACAGAAAAGGAGTACTTGTGGCACCTTAGAGACTAAGGTGCCACAAGTACTCCTTTTCTTTTTGCGAATACAGACTAACACGGCTGCTACTCTGAAACCTGTAATGTAGACGAAGCTATTGACTTCAGTGGATTTGCTCCTGATTTCCACTAATGTGAGAGGAGAATCATGCCAGTTTTGTTGAAATGCACATTGACAGATTACAACAAGATCAGAGTATTCTTGCAGACCTTGTCTATACATATTCACAATTGTGAATTAAGTAAGGAATATACTGATAAAGGAATATACAGTATTTTCAAAGCACTTTTCCTGGAGCAAAAGCACTGTATTGTAAATATTAAATGCAAAAAAGGGAATTTAGTGACCTAAGAAATGAAAAGCTTCAGCTTGATAACCTAGGAGGGCTGAAGTCTTCTACCCATTCACAGAACAGGCACAGTGCAGGACAGCAGCAGTTACCCCTGAAACTGCCTCCCACTAATTTGCATAAACCTGACATGTACCAACAACTTTCAGAATGAGAAGGGAATTATGCCATTGTTGGCAGATCACCAGAGATGCTTCACCGACGTGTGTTGGCTGGTCAGGGCAGGTGCAGGATGTGTGCATTTTAAGAACACAGAAAATATGTTGCAGAGTGTCTAGTAGTTCTGAAAGCACCCACTTGTTACTGTACAGTGTGACACAACTCATAAGATCAGTGACAGTGTAATAATCAGAAATTTACAGCAAATACCACAAAATCAATCATTAATCGCACTGTTAAACAATAATAGTATACCATTTATTTAAATATTTTTTGATGTTTTCTACTTTTCAAATATATTGATTTCAATTACAACACAGAATACAAAGTGTACAGTGCTCACTTTATATTTATTTTTATTACAAATATTTGCACTGTAAAAAAACAAAAGAAATAGTATTTTTCAATTCACCTAATAAAAGTACTGTTGTGCAATCTCTTTATCATGAAAGTTGAACTTACAAATGTAGAATTATGTACAAAAGAAAACCTGTGTTCAAAAATAAAACAGTGTAAAATTTTAAAGCCTGCAAGGCTACTCCATCCTATTTCTTGTTCAGCCCATTGGTCAGACAAATAAGTTTGTTTACATTTTCAGGAGATAATGCTGCCCGTTTCTTGTTTACAGGGTCACCTGAAAGTGAGAACAGGCATTCTCATGGCACTGTTGTAGTCAGCATAGCAAGAAGTTTATGTGCCAGATGCGCTAAAGATTCATATGACCCTTCATGCTTCACCCACCGTTCCAGGGGACAAGTCCATGCTGATGACAGGTTCTGTCATCCAAAGCAGTGTGGACTGACGCATGTTCATTTTCATCATCTGAGTCAGATGCCATCAGCAGAAGGTTGATTTTCTTTTTTGGTGGTTTGCGTTTTCTAATTTTTGCATCGGAGTGTTGTTCTTCTAAGACTTCTGAAAGCATGCTCCACACCCCGTCCCTCTCAGATTTTGGAAGGCACTTCAGATTCTTAAATCATGGGTCGAGTGCTGTAGCTATCTTTAGAAATTTCACATTGGTACCTTCTTTGCGTTTTGTCAAATCTGCGGTAAAAGTGTTCTTAAATAAGCAAGATGTGCTGGGTCATAATCCGAGACTGCTATAACATGAAACGTATGGCAGAATGCAGGTAAAACAGAGCAGGAGACATACAATTCTCCCCAAAGGAGTTCAGTCACAAATTTAGTTAATACATTATTTTTTGTAACGAGCATCATTAGTATGGAAGCACATCATCTGAAATGGTGGCTGAAGCACAAAGGGGCGTACGAATGTTTAGCATATCTGGCACATAAATACCTTGCAGTGCCGGCTACAAAAATGCCATGCAAATGCCTGTTCTCGCTTTCTGGTGACATTGTAAATAAGAAGCAGGCAGCATTATATCCCATAAATATAAAACTACTTGTTTGTCTTCGCGATTGGCTGAACAAGAAATAGGACTGACTGGAGTTGGAGGCTCTGAAGTTTTACATTGTTTTGTTTTTGAGTGCAGTTATGTAACAAAAAACCCTACATTTGTAAGTTGCACTTTCACAACAAAGAGATTGCACTACAGTATTTGTATGAGGTGAATTGAAAAATACTATTTCTTTTATCATTTTACAGTGCAAATACTTGTAAAAAAAATAATATACACCCTGTATTCTGTGTTGTAATTGAAATCAATATATATGAAAATGTAGAAAAACATCCAAAATATTTAAGAAATTTCAATAGGCATTCTATTATTCAACAGTGTGATTAAAACTGCAATTAATCATGATTATTTTTTTTTTGATCGCATGAGTTAACTAGGATTAATTGACAGCCCTAATCTGCACTAAGAATTGGATTGAAACTCCCAGCCCATATCTCAGCCTCTAAATTCAGTTCATAATCTCTCTGTAATAAATTTCAGTCTAATCGTTGAGGATCAGTGTGTCACTTTACCCCATAAAATATGAGAACTCTCATATTTCTACTTTTAAGATAATTCACGAGGGATTCTCAATTAAAATGAAGTGATTGTGGTACACAGCACCAACCATATCCATACAGTGCTAGTGACTGACACTGTTTTGTATTATTAATGACCATAGTTTAAAAATAGGCTGAAGTTATGCTCCAAAATCCATATTTAGGCTCCTAAAGAAGTGGCATGATTTTCAAATTTACTGAGGATGCAGCAATACCTACTGAAGTCAATGAGTGCTCAGTGCTTTTGAAAATCAGGCCACTTGCTTAAGAACATAACTTTAGGCTCTTACTTTTTAAAATCTTGGGTTTATATTAGTGTCCAAATTAACAAATTGCTGATACCAAGTTACTAGCTAATTGGTTCATTTATTCTCCAGATTCCAAAATTGGTTATCATTTTTTTCCAGAGAGGTTGGCCTGCCAGCATAACCTTTTTCCAAATTACAGTCTATTTTCAAGTTACCAACTCCTTTAGATTGATATGACATGGCATCTGGAAGGCAAAGGTTTCCTGCCTGGCACATTCTTCTAGTCCAGCTATATTATACATTAATAATATAGCTGGGAAGAGGGTCTTCCCTTGAATTTTGGTTCCTAAATAATTACCTTGTTTGTTGTGTTTTAAAAGGTATTTGTTTGACTCCTATGAAGAAAACCCAAAGTAGTATTTCAAATATAGATGACAACCTCAAGAAAAATATTAATTTCCGAGAAAAATATAACTTAATGCCTACATACACAAAAAGTGAGTATTACCATAAAATTTATCACAGAATTCAGGAAGCTGTAAAATCAATTTTACTCTGTCTCTGGTTGAGTGCATTGCAATTGGCTGTGATTAAAAAATCTGTGCTCATCACTGGAGATCAAGGTATGAGAATTTAAAATGATATATACTATTATCTTTCAACTTTAATAACAAAAGATGTTGACTTGTGAGCATGGTCTTCTGTCATCTGTTGGTTAGTTACTTCTACTGCACCTAAGATATAACCCCAATGTCACTGATATTTAATGCATCAGTGACATTGATGTAGCCTTAATGCTGGAGAAAAGCTACTTTAATATTATTTATTAGAATTTATAAAATAAGTGAACATTCACACTTTAACTTTTGTAAGAAGAACTGCTGCTTTACATTACCACATTCAGTTCTATCTTAGATTTCAATTAGTTTAAATTAACATACAGATGGCCTTGTTCATAACTCCACAGCTCTCCAAACAGACCAAGACACACACTTGAAGAAACAAACAGTCAAAGAAACACACAACACAGAATATCAAGGCTTGAATGAGAAAAATAAATATTCATTTGATGAAGATGAGGTAAGTTATGAGGCCAGATAATACCCTCACATATCTGCATAAAAATCCAAAATAAAGTCAACACCTCTGTGGTTTTTAAAAATGTCTTTATTGTTATTAGTGTAGTCACTTGTAACAGGAACCCAGCACCAGGATGAATGACCAAGTTGAACCCTAGTGTAAACAGGTGCATCTCCATTGATTGTCAGTGCAGTTACATCCCTAGTATAAGTGGGTGTATTTAGTACTAATTTTTTTTTAAGCCCTTCACTCTCCTTTAACCACCTCTGGGTCTCCCCTTCTGCCCAGGACCTGGTCCCTGTGGTCACAGAGTGGGGGGCTGGGGCTGACACGTGGTTGAGTCAGGATGGGGCAGCTAGGGCTTGACTGCTCCCCCCGTGAGGGGGCACGCTAGGCAGGTCAATGTGGTCAGAGCAGGGAGGATAGGACAGGGCAGCAACAGCCGCTTTAGACTAGGCTCTTCAAAATTGTCTCCCTGCCACAGTTTCTGCCCCCTGCCTCTGGTTTCATTAATAGGCAGTGAATCACAGAGCCTAGGAGGTAAGGTCTCTGGGAGACACCACACACACATTGGCTATTCTGCTGTCAAGGCAGCAGTTCAGGAGGGCTATGAGCCTCACCAAACATGAGACCAGGTGCAGATTCTCACTTCCATCTCCCCTTTATTGGAAAAATCACGATATAGGGCTAATTTAGCAATTTCTGTGCAATCTGTGAAATCAGTTTTCCCAGGGCCCTTCTCATCTAACCATGGGGAAGCTGCCCTCCACACCTTAGCCATTAGAGGTGTGTTGGCCTTTTATCTGGACGGCACCAAATCCTTTAGGACCCCTCCCAGACTGTTTGTCTCTTTTGCTGCCAGAGTTAAAGGGATACCTGTTTCCACCCAAAGACTTTCCAGTTGTATCCTCTCTTGTTATGAGGCTGCTAATCACCCTGTTCCTAGGGTTATAGCCCATGCCACCAGATCTCAACCTACTTCCATTTTCATGTTGAAGACTGTGCCCATTACAAAAATATGCAAAGCTGAGGCTTTGGTTCACACCTTCTCAAAACACTATGCCTTAGTGCATGCCTCCAGGACAGATGCTATCTTTGTACTGCAGTTCTGCACACCGTCTTAGACCAGGTTCTGAAGCTTCCTCCTCCTTCAGGGAGTACTGCTTAGGAATCAGCTGAAGTGAACCCATAGAGACATAACTTGAAGGAGAGATTACTTACCCTGTATAGTAACTAGAATTCTTTGATTAATATCCCTGTGGATACTCCATTATCCGCCCTCCTTTTCCTTTGCATCAAAGTCTTGTCTTGAAGGGACTTCATGGTAGGGAAGGAACGGAGGGGTGGTTCACCCAACACTGCCCTATATATCTTTGGTACAGGGCACAAGAATAGTTAGGGTGTATGTGCAGACCAGGTGCAGCTACCAAATCTCTGCTCAAAGGTGCACAGGGCAGACCAGGTACAGCTACCAAATCTGTGCTCAAAAGTGCATGGGGTACAGTTATCGTACAGAATAAGTAACCTCTCCTTCTGTTGTTCTGTAGGCCTCTATAATATCAGAACTAACATTTAAGAATTATGTTAAATGGTATTCTTAATGACTTATATTATCTTTTCCACTTCAATGCTATGTAGTTTTACATAATTTTTAAATAAGTCAAAATAAATACTTACAGAGGACTGAAAGTCTTTCATTGGACACACATGCAAGAGCTTTAAAAAAGAATAAACGAAGAATCCGGAAAGATTTTACAACAGAAGAGGTAAACTATCTTTTGAGTGGCGTAAGGAAAATGGGCCATCACTGGAATTCAATTTTGTGGTCCTACCCATTTCAGAAAGGACGGACAAATGTTGATCTTGCTAAAAAATACCGCAAGTTACAGATACCTGTAAGGGAAATTTAATTTTCGAATAGTCTCTTTATGTTAAAGTTAAAAACTGATTTGAATTGTAACCTCTAATTGCATTTTCAGTTTTGCTGTGAAACCACAAAAGTGTGAGATTTTGTGCTGTGCCTTTGAGGCACATCACAGAAGTTGCAGCCCAGGGGCAAAAGGGCTAAAGCGCCTGTAAACCACCTTTTGTGCCCTCCCTGTTCTGGCTGCTGCCTCTTGTAACTAAGGCAGCCCTAGTAGGCTGCCTAAGCTGGAGCAGCCTGTTGCTCGCTGTGACTGTCTTCTCCAAGCCCTGTGCAGGGAGAGAACTACATCTAGGACTTTTAGAACTCCTTAGTGTCATTCCAGCCCTATTACTCAGAATACAAAGGCCAGAATGAGTGAGAAGCTCACCCAAGATCCCTAGGATAGTCCAACATACTGACTAGGGACTGGAAGCTAGGAATTCCTGAGTTCTAATTTCTCTCTGACAATGATTTGTTTCGCCTGGGGCAAGTTTCTTTGTGTATATCAGTTTTCTCTATCTGTAAAATGAAGATGATTTTTATTTACCCCTTATGCAGGGGTATGAAGGATTATAATTGATTAGCTAATATTTGTAGCATGTTTCGAACAACTAGCAGGTATTCTTTCTCTTAACCCTGTTGTAGAATATGTACTAGATCTTGTATCACAATTTAGTGTATGAAAATACCAGTTTGTTTTGATATTTACTATTTTTTTAAAAATTTTACAGAGGAATGAAAATAAAGAAGATCTGTAACATCTTTCTAAAATATTTTATATTCTGCTAAAGAATTTGAAGTTTAAAGGACAGAATTATAGTGTAAAAGAGTTAGGTACTGTTAATATGCACTCTACATATTTCATTTCAGATTTTTTATTGTGATTTATACAGGGCTAGGCTCTTATGTAGACTTAAGTGAAATGTATTTTGATAGGTATTTTCAGAATGCTAATGTACATTCATTAAATAAAATGTATACCACTAAAATGAAAATGCTTTAACTTTACTACAGAGGCACACCCAAAAAAAAAACCCCCAGAACAAAACTTTTTGCATGCAATATTTAACTTGACCTTCCAGTGCTTAACTGGAATATTTGCACTTTCTTTAAATATCTCACTTGCTAAAACTATATTACAGATCATTTTATCCTCTTTCATTTTTGTACAAAAGTTTAACATTGCTAAATTGATGCCACATACTGATACATTTTAAAATATTTTTGTTGGCTCTGTTTTTATTTTCTTGCTTTTTTCCATTCCACTGTCCCTGAGATGGAACAAGAGCACATCATTATCTTTAACATACAGCCATTTCTATCTTTTTCTCTATTTTATACCACACTTATAGATGTTATTGCACTTGGGTTTAGTACTCTGGAATGCACATTTAAAATGCTTAAGTGTGATTTTTATCACAAACTACCCTGTTGTGTGTGTATATAGAACTAATATTGAAAGCTGCTAAAGTTGAAGGAGCCCAATTATCATGTACATCTATACCAGAATGAATAGGAAAGCAGGATGTAGCCATTTTTATTTTTAGAACATTACTTATATGTAGTCCTTTATAAAGCTCAGTTATGGACCCTGTCTTTAGGAGCTTACTATCAAACTAATTCTGTTTTGGATGTTCATTCAATTTCCATTTTTGTGTGTGAGTAGCCATTCTTCCTTTACTCTGAAGAGCAGTGGGTACTTTAAGCTAGTGTTCTTGTATTGCCCTTAGACATGGTAGTAATAGTGTTGGGAATGCCAGGAGAAGCCCTGATCAGAAGACCCCAGCCTTGGGAGGTTGGACTGAGGTCTCACTCTCAACTCCCAGAAATAAGCAAACCAGAGAGCCAAGCTATCTTAGGTTTCCTGCAAATATGGAGGTCCTGCAAACAGTGGTTGAAGGACCCTTGCAGGACAGAAGGGCTGGTGCTAGTCTTTATTTTGTTAATTTAGTTTTCTTTCCTTTGTCACCTTGGACTAGAGGCCTAGCCCTAAAGCAGATCCCTGCCAACAATACAAACCCCCTGAGGAGAAGATGGGGTGACATAGGAAGCAGTCCACAGAAGAAGCAAGAGATCTGATGAGACAAACAACCCCTTGTTACAGGCTCCCTCAGCTTGGAATCCAGGGTGGAGGGAGGGACTGGGTTCCTGTACTGCCTCACCACAGAGGCTAGCATGAAGACGCCCGATACAAGGATCAGAAGGATTACTGAACTTGGATCTGGGCTGATGACCTGATGTCTAGTCATGGCAGTGTTCTTGCATTGAACTCTGGTTTTCCCTGAAAGAGGTGAGACTAAACATGACCTGGCCAGAGTGCTGAATCACAAGACGAGGTGGGCTAGCAGCAGACCTGAATGACCAGCCAGTGGGGCTACATAAAGTGAAAGCCCTATAACACTGCACCAAGCCACCAGGTGGTGCATTAGCTAGTAAGTCACTTTGGGTATGTCTGCACTGCAATTAGACACCTGCAGCTGGCTTGGGCTAAGGGGCTGTTTAATTACATTGTAGATGTTCAGGCTCAGACTGCAGCCTGGGCTCAGACCCTATCACCTCACAGAGTCCTAGAACCTAGGCTCCTGCCCAAGTCTCAATGTCTAAATCTCCATTAAAAAACCTTTTAGCATGACCCCTAGTCAGCTGGTGTAGGCCAGTTGTGGGTCTCTAATGCAGTGTAGACATACCCTCAGTAATTACTAATTCTTTGATCATCTGAACAAGAAAGAAGAATGAATAGGATCCACATTTATCTAGCTGTTTAAAAAAGGATGAGGTTTTTAATACCAAGATGTGACTTGGGTTTAAGTGTATCTTGTATTTCATTCACTCTGACATAAAATCTGATGCTAGAGCTAGAACTGCACATGAATAAAGCCATCCATACCACAGCTGAACAGCAGATAATACATCTAACAATACATTGTGCTTCCCTAGGAAAATAAATTTACTTTCTCTGTAGTAGTATTTTGGTAGAACTTGTCATAACATACATAAAATCAAGTAGTTCAATATAGAAGAGTACCTACAATGTATGACAGTTTATTTTCAAATTCCATCCTCAATGTTAAGAACCCCAAAGAGAGTGTGACAGTTACCTAATATCCCATTTAGCAACTTCAATTTCTGCCCACATCCTGCAAATAATTACATACACTTAGTGCACTGTGACTAGTCCTCTTCCCGGGGGAACTTTTAGGCCAATATTTTAAATTGACTCGAAAGAAACTCTTGCTACATATATGCTTGTCCCAGTTTAATCTACTTTCCATATGCCCATTAACATGACTGTTATCACTAAACTAATTGTGTGTGTTGAGTCTAAATTCTTTAACTTCGTAAATACAATGATCCATTATGCTATGCTCATTTGCACTAGCAGAGGTTTTGGAACAGTAACTCCACTGATGTCAATTAGGTTACTCATACAACAGGAGAATAAGTCCTTTTCTGTAATATTGTGCTGACAATCACATGTAAGATGTCACAGATCAATAAGAGTAAATAATTTAGTGTTCGATTTAAGCAGCCATGCTTGTTGTGATCTTATATAATGCAGTACTAGACTTCAGGTAGGCCAAGAATAGCAGGCTATTGTGATGGGGTATACAAACCCCACTGTGGACAACAAGGGACTAAAGAATGGCTCTAGGATCAGGCAGTTTTATACCATGCCTGCAATACATGCACATGCATAGGCTAAAGGAGGAGCTGAAAAGAGAAGCAAAGAAGCTTACCCGTTGGCACAACCAGTAAGAGAACAGACCCTCAACTCCTGAGGAAAGGGCTGACTGAAGGTAGGAGCTTCTCAAATGAGTGCTCCCCAATGGCCCTTCCCTGAGAGAAGGGAGAGCCAGATTCTGATTCCCTTGAGAGGGAATAATTCCCCTCTATTTCCTATGAGCTCTGTTTATTTGCATTAATTCCCCTTTCTTTTTGTTCATGGATTACCCTGGAAAGGAAGAGACTTTAAAGTGACCTGGCCGGAGGGCCGAGTCACAGGAAGATGCAGACCACTGCAGAGGTGGGGCAACCATCAGCAGAATCTCCCCAATGGGAAGAGAGCTGCTAATCCAGGCCTGGGCACAAGGAGGTGCTAGCAGTGAGTCAACCCCTTCACAGCTATAAAATGGTGTATTCCTTAACAATGACAAATTTGTTAATATAGTAGAACTCAGTAGCATAGCTAGGAGTGGAAAGTTGGTGGCCCAACTTTCGGGTGGGAGGGTAATGACAGACTGTGCTAGCTCAGCTTCTCCCCTAACCCCAGGCCCTCTTCCTAGCCCTGGTGCCCGCAGACACAGGGATTCACCTGCTCAGCTGGGCACACATATGAGGTGGCTCAGAAAATGGCAAGGCAGAGCTGCCGGAGCATAGCTTTCTGAAGGACAGGCACATAGCTCAGTCCTGGATTTCACGTGCCCAAGTGACGCTCCGGGCCACTGTGGCAGCACTACACCTCTGCTCAGATTTGGGTGGGCCTGCATGCTAAGTGGGTGGGCCATGACCCACGCATGGCTACACCCCTGGTAGACTCTCAAAGATATGAACACCAGAGTTATGGATTTACCAGTCAACTGGATACCAGGTGAAACTGGAAGTCCTCAATCAGGCAGCAGCGCAGACTGAAAAAAAAAAAGCAGCAAATACTGTACTGCCTTGGGACTTTAGCCCCAAGGCCCAGGGCTTCAGCCACAGGGGGTTGGGGGCTGCAGCCGCAGGGTGTGGGGGGGATTAAGACTCCAGGCTGGAGGGAGGCCCTCAGGGCTTCTGACCCTCGGGAGCACAGGGATTCAGGGCTTTAGACTGTGGGGGAGTGCTGGGGCTTCAGCCGTGCAGCTCTGTTCCTGGCTTCAGCCCCATGGGGATGCCAAGGCTCTGGGCTTTAGCTACAAGGGGAGCATCAGTTTCAGCCCCAACGATTCCCCCGTAGCTAAAGCCCCAAGCCCTGACACACCCTCTTCCCCTGAAACCAGGAGGGCAGCCATGGGAAGCTCTGAGCTCCGGTGCCCTGCGTAGCACTGAAACTGGGAGCAAAACTGTGGGGCTGAAGCCTCAAGCCCCAGGACTCCCCCCAGGTCTAAAGTGCTGAGTCCTGGTGCTCCCAAAGGGCAGAAGCCCTGAGCCCCCTACCTGGAGCCCTGGCGCCCCAAGGGTTAGAAGCCCCAACTCTTCCCCGCCCCCCACCCAGTGACTGCAGCCCCAACCCCCCATGTGGCTGAAGTCCATAACCTCTTTTTCAGAGTTACGGAACATTTCAGAGATACAGACAAACTCCATTCCCAAGGTCTCCATAACTCTGAGGTTCTACTATAGATGCATTTTTGCTGCAAAATTATGAATAGTGACACCAGGTCCCCAACTAATTTATGCTTTAATTCCAAATGATGTACGTAAACTTTAATGTGTATAAGGTTCTGTGTACTGAAGGAATTGATTAAGTCAATGGAAACTTTCAGCAGTGTGAAAAACGAGCCTAAATACTCAAGGCAAAACTTTTTTAAAATTACAGAAGCCAATAAAACCATTGCATGTAAAAAAATTAATTAGCTGCAGGGAAGTCAGAGCAACAAATGTAGCAGAGTTCTACACCCTACAGAGTCTAGAAACAACAGATGAGAGGTTTAGAGAAAGAGATAAGGTTGTGGGTTAGACAAGCTTTGTAATGTATCTTTTGTTGCATACAAGAGTCCTATTTCAGAGCTGTTTAAATTTATGCCACAACAGACTAACCATATAAATGGGCACCACTAAGTGTATAAGCATTTACAGTGACTGCTGAGAAAGTCTTATACTAATAATTAGCAAAATTGAAGTAAATTAGTAAAATTAATATATTGTTTAGATTGTTCTACATAGAGAGCCGAAGAGAAGGTCAGAACTTTTTGTACAGAAGATTAGGTGTGTCCCTGGTGAGTTGAGCTATAATAGTCCTTGTCTGTTAGCATTGGCTGGGGAGCTGTCCAGAGTACCA